CTTAAATTCCTTTACCCAGTACCTGTGTCTTCTTAAATTCCTTTTCAAGTATTTTCTTTTCGTTTCTCAATTGCTTGAAGTCCTGAGTGTGTTTGACAGCAGCCTCTATGTATAATAGGAACAGCAAAGCAACAGGAAAAGGGGAGAGTTAGAGGCCCGGTCCTGTGTGATCCATGCCAGCTTTTTCCCTCTCCTAAAACTCCACACATGTCACAGACAGTTACTGCCTTCTCATCAAGCTACAGAACTGACTAAGGCTATGAAAATGTTTCCCACCCCTGATACAGCAACTCCAAATCCTCCCATGCAATACTCTGCCTAGAACAGTGTGCAGACCCTAGACTGTGAGCAAATCATTCATTCCTTTTTGGTTCAAAGGCCAAACGATGCACACACCAGCAAGAATCTAGCCAGAACTGACATCACAAAGACATGCGCACACACAAATACAAAGGAAAGCAAAGTCCTACAAGACACCAGCAACACTTCTGAGTTTTACTCAACACTTTTATTATGGCCTATCAATTTCTAGGGAAAATTACTTTTCTTACAATAAAAATAAAGGCCACATTTGACTCCACAGGTCTCTTCTCAAAGTTGCACACAGCCTCTTAGGCATTCCACTTATCCCACATACGAGAGGACAAGCTGAGAGCAAAACCACGTGCTTAGTGCCTGTCAGCATTCATGAGATGATATTATCCAACCATCTGCAGAACTGATATCTAAACTAAGAACTCATCATTCATCCTTGTTCTAAATGTCCCCGGCTCCTAAGTTCATGCCTTCCATGGCGACACCTCCTTCAGAAGCAGAGCACAAACACCGGGATGTTGAAGTCCACACAGGCAGAGCATGACAGCACAGCCATTGCCTCTACCTGATTCCATCCCCGAGTAACTGCAAACAAAATGGACATTCCATTCCTAGCCAACTTTTCAAAGCACAATTAGCTAAGATGTAAGGACATAACAGATTCCAGTGCTTATGCCCTTCTGTATTCTGGTTACTTGGAAACATGAAGCACTTAACTCAAGTGGGGTGTGAGGGAGGGTCAGGGTGGGGCACTTCATAGAAATATGTGTGTGTGTGTATTTGCACCATCAACTTGGCACAGGCTAGAGTCATTTGAAATGAGGGAACTTCAACTGAAGAAATGCCCCCATAGTTCAGGCTATAGGCAAACCTGTAAGGCATTTTCTTAATTAGTGATTGAGCAGGAGGGCCAGCCCATTGTGAGTGGTGACACCCCTGGGCTGGTGGTCCTGGGTTCTATAAGAGAGCAGGCTGGACAAGCCACAAAGAGCAAGGCAGTAAGCTGCACCCCTCCATGGCCTCTGCATCAGCTCCTGCCTCCGGGTTCCTGTCTTGGCTTCTCACAATGGATTCTGATATACAAGTCAAACACACGAAGTGGCACCTTTTCTAGTAACTACCAACTTCAACTGGGAATGAAAGAAACAAAAATAGCTACAAGATCCAACTTTCAAAACTGAGTCACTGCATTTCCTTCCACGCTGCCTGTTTACAGCAAAGGGTCACAGAGAAGGGGATTAACTTGAGCAGCAGCACAGAACTCCGTTCCCGGCACACCCGCTGACACTCACAGCCGCACACTTACCAGGGTCTGTACAATGACAGGGCTCTGCTGGCCACACACAACAGCTGCACTTACCTTCCAGCTTCTTCACCTTAGCTTCCAGCTTCTTCTTCCTGATAATAAAACCTTGTCAGTTAGATGCAGAAGAAATGATAATTTAGCACACACAGTGTATATAAGAGACTTTTTCACTCATAATTAGTATCACATGTCAACTAAATTACCAGCAACTGGGCTATGATAGAAGAAGCCCAAGAAAGAACACTAATCCGTCTACTGTACAGTATTCCTAAAACAGGTTTTTAAAGACCTGACATTTGTTTGAGAAACACAAAGAGAGTCTTTTGAGTCTCTGCCACAACAGACAGGACAGTAAGTGTCATCTCTGGGTGTGTCCAAATGACCTCCCTGCTTCATGCATCTAACTCACCAGGCACTCTTCAGGAGCATGCACAGTGAGCAAGGGAAGCAGCGGGGAGGGGCGGGGGAAGGGGCAGCGACGCTTCGCCTGCTCTGAGATGGATTTCCCAGAGTAGAGAAGGTAGGAAGCTCAGGAAAGTCTCCAGATGCTGCTGCTGTCACAGACAGCTCCACAAGTGACCTCTCGGGGCTGGGGCTGAGGTACCAAGCTTCAACGTAACTAGCAAGAGGCCCAGCCCACTTCACTGCTGGTAACAAAGGCCTTTCCCTCTACCGTGAGATACTACAACGATGATGCCTGTAAAAGGCTGGCAGAGACAGGAGGCCCACGACTGTCTGGACACTCAAGTACAGCTCACCCGTGATAAAGCAAGTGTGCACAATACCTCTCTGTGCATCCCTTCAGCACCAGATCCCCCTAGTCACAACAGTGCTGACCCCGCGTGACAGTGGTGAAAACTGTGGCTGAGAGACTGGCCCAAGTTTGCACAGCTAATTAATTACAACCAGTGAATAGAAACAAAAGAAAACTTATTTACAAACATCTAGTCTCGAAGATGAAAGCCCCGTATCAACAGTAAACCACTTACTGGGCATCACTTTTCAAGCATTCTTCTTTCACACGAGCATATTCCTGGTGAGTGTTCTGATACAGCTTCAGGGAACTCTAACAAGGAAACAGGAAACATAAGTATCTCCCCAAGAGCCATTGATCATGGTACTCATTTGTTTCACCGTAAGCTAAATTCTCATCTGGTAGCACAAGACTAACCAAGTACACAGCCAGACTTGTCTGCAAGGCCCAGGAGTTACTGAGCATCTCCAGGAGTAGGCTAGATTCCCAGAAGACAGAGCTCACAGTACAGACAAGCAAACCGACACAACCCCAACTGCACAGAACACCACTGGCTGAAACACTAAACAGCTGAAATGTTCCCTCAGAATTACAGTAACAGAGTCCAAGCTGACATCAGGCTCAGTAAGTGTTACATTATTACTTTCAGGAAAAGGAAAACAAGTTACCAATCCAAATTAACTGGGAAAATGTATGAACATAGACTCATCCTCCATGATGACCCTATAGGCTGGAAAGACAGTGTCCATGTTGTGGTCTGTACATGGCATTTCTCTAACCTTAAAAGCTCTGAGAGATGAGCTTCATCAAGCCCTCTTCACAAAGGATTTGACAGGGTGGCATATTCCTGCAAGACATGTCACCCAGTGACTAAGAGGGTCTACCACTGAGGTCTGACTCCAAGGTTCACACTTCCTTGAGGGCATACTATGGACATCATATAACCAAGAGTACAGAGGACTGAACACCGTGGTTGGCTGTTCCGCTTTCACTGTAGTTAAACCATAAAGAATCCCTGGAGAAACAGGAATGCTGACATGTACAAGCACACAGTGCATGAAAACCCAGACAACTGCACATCACTGAAACTACAGCAGAGGCAGGTGGATAATGGATAATAGGACTCTTCTCTGAAAAGAGCCAGAAAGAACACTGGATAATAAGCCAGACAGCTCCACCTCCTTTCAGGCCAGCCACCTAGCCAGAGGCTTCAGATGCTTCCACTTATAAACTCCATGGACTGGACGTGCTCCTAGGATTCCTATAAAGGACATGCAAACTTTACACAGAAAAGCATTCACAGCACTTTGAGTGGATTGCTTCAAGGCTTGACTCTGAAGAAGAGAGCCCATGAGAGGTCAAAGTATCAGTTTCCTACCTGAAGCACCTTTTCCCAAGGCTCCCTCGAGTAAAGGAAATGACCGCTCACCTCTAAGAACTTGAGACATGTGAATGAAAGTGTCTCTCTGTGGACCTCACGGCCCTGAGAAACCGCAGGGACTAAGTAGTTACCCAAACCCCAAACCAATCTGTCAAGACCATTCATCCATATTAACTGCTCAAGATTCAACAGAGGTCCTCCAAGGACGTTTGAACTCTACCAGAGCAGAGGCCCTGAGTGCTGAGCTGAGGCTAGACCTGTACTACTAAAGAAATCCAGTTCCCCAACCCACGGTCACACAATGATTCTCCTACCACTAATTCTGGATGTCTACATGTTATTTCCCACTTAAGTCAAGAAAATTTTTTAAATGAAAAAAACAAACAAACAAACAAAAAAAAAAACCACAGATAATTACTACAGGGAATATAAAACCACCAGAGTTTACACGTAACCCTTTTTACACTTGTGCAGAGTCCCGGGAACACTGTGAAGCCACACGTCAGTCAGAGCAGGGCGCTCCACAGGAGACTCAGAAGGGTTTCCTCGGGCACTCACATCCTTCACTAACATGTAAAGGTCCCTGAATCCCAGTCAGCAAGTGCACGAGTCAATCCTAAACAACAATGACCCTCTACAGGAAAGTGGCTCTGGGCACCTTTTTCTCCTCCAGCTCTGCTTTCAAGGTGTCCAGCTCCTCTTGGCATTTCTGCAGAGGGGAGATTTTCTGAAGCATCTGCTCCACCTGGTGATGCAGCATGCTGTTCTCTCTGAAAATGGACAAGGCATTGGCATCACTGAGCAGACCAGCTGGAGTGCGTTATTCAACACTAACTTCAATGATTCTTCCTGCTCATCCTAACAATAAGACTGCTTTTGATCTTTTAGGCATAACCAACTTTTTAATGAGACTGTACCAAAATGTAACATCAGAAACCAGTCCAACAGACTTCAATACACCAGAGAAGATGTCTGAGGACAGTCTGCCAAACATCTGGCACATCCAATCTTCATCTTCCCCCATTTGTTCCAATTAAATGATATAGGAATGCTCTATCTGATGTATAAACTCATGCTGACTTTTAAGTGAGCACTGTAATCTAAATACAATTGTAATGTAAACTGTAATATAAATACAATCTGATTTATAACCTCATGTTGATTTCTAAGTGATAATTGTAGTCAGAGCATAAAACATCATTACCATTTTAGTGGATTTATTTTGTTATAAACAACACAAAATAAATGGCGTTGAACAGTGTAATTGTGTGAGCAAAAGTAATAGAACTTCAGTTTCAGCTCACAATGTGGTCACAGTTTCTGAAGCAAACCATGAGGGTTCAATTTGAAACCTGCGCAACAAATACATTTGAGGGACGTGATAGGACAGGGCAAAGCTGCTTGTAAGGGGAGCACCCAAAGCAGGTGAATTTGAGGCAGGTCTCCCAGGCCCAGGCTTGCTATATATCCACCCCTACCCAAGAATTCACAGGTGCAATCAACAGTTACGGAAGCCAGGCAGCTCACCTTCTTGCAAACTGCAGTTGTAAAACTTGTTAAAGAAAACTTGAACCTTCATCTTCTGATATTTGTCTGAAGATAAATTCTGTCTTACAGTAATCATGTACACCTAGGCTGGACCATTATGCTACACACAATATGCACACACCCATCTCTAACAGTGGTGAGTCTACATTATCCCTACTTACCAATGTATGAATCTGTGGTGGGTTGAACAAGAACGGCCCCCACAGACTCATGTATTTGAATGCTTAGTCACCAGGGAGTGGCACTATTTGAGAATTAGAATGATTAGGAGGTGTGGCCTTGCTGGATATGGTTTTGTGAAGGAAGTGTGTCAGTAGGGGTGAGCTTGGCTCTTTAAAGCTCACACTAGGCCCAGCATCCCTTCCCCTGACTCCTCTCTGCTGACAGATCAGGATGTAGCTCTCAGCTCCTGCTCCAGCACCTGCCTGCATGCCACCAAGCTCCCTACCATGATGATGATAGAGACTAAGACAGAACCCAAGTCAAAACATCCTCTATTTCTCTACTAATCAACTGAAGGAAAATAATTTACAACAGAACCTCCAAACTTTCCATTTCTCAAACAGTCTGGCAGACCAAACCACAAAGCCACTCGGGACTACACTTCTTCTTAAGATCAAGAAGTGCACATTCGCTCTCCTCAGCCCCACAATGGTGGCAGTGACCTCATGTGGACATGCTCCAGTCTTTCAGAAGAGGTACTACAAGTAATTCAATTAGGAAGAAGCTACATTAAGCCTGGACACTGGCATCCTATTGGTAGGACAGTTACATTTCTGAGTTGTAACAAATACATACTTGAGGATAATGCCAAGTGTTTTTAAAATTAGTTTCTGTAGCTGAAGCCAAATCTCTGTATCTCAAAATATAACTGCAAGTTTTATCTACTTAAGGAGATGTTCTAGGATGGAGATGTGGCTCAGTGGCTCAGAGTAAGCACACTGCTCTTCCAGAGCTCCTAGTTCAGATCCCAGCACTTACAGCAGGTGGCCAGCATGGGTGCTGCACTCATGTGCACATACTGTTAGCATTTAGGCATCTGTACTGGCCTGCCCTTAGGGTCCTGAAAGAACTTCAGGACCCATCCTCAGCTGCAGCCACTAAGAGCAGCCCAGTATTTTGTGTTTTAAAAATGGTGGGAAGGAGTCCCACCATATAACAGGGCTCAGGAGGGAGGTTTATGGAGGGGAGAGAAGGAGCAGAGAAGGGGGCAGAGACTGGTCCCTGGAGATGACAGCGAAAGAAGAGAAAGAGAAAGTGATGGGAGATGGGCAAAGCCTGCCTTTTATAAGGAAACACAGCAAATATGCACAGGAGGCACTCTTAGTGGCTGCAGATGAGGTCTATCCTGTCAGGACCCTAAGGGCAGGCCAGTACAGATGCCTGAATGCTAACACATACTCACAAACAGACACAAAATTAATAATTTTTAAGAAAAAGAATTTTTTATTTAAATTTTGATAGGAAACTTTTAGAAAATCAGACCACTTATCTAACATGAGAATACAAATGTAATTACCAAAAAGTTTCCATCATTTCTCTGAAGTGCTGGGAGATCACTGCTCTCATACTGAGCCCACCATCTGTTACTATTTCACTATCAACAGCTGGGACAACTATTTCTGGAAAGCATCTATATTCAATGGAAGATACTACTCCTAAAGTCCTGTTGTATTTTACATTTCAGCAGATAAATCAACTGTGGGAATTTCCAGTGACTTTTATTTCCATGTGAAATCTAGGCTCTAAAGTCACTCTGATACAGATTTTACAACAGAAGCTCAAATAACCTGTGATCCCACAAGCTCAGGTGCCACAACTAAATGGCCTCAGTACTGCAGACCATGGACCCGACCTCTGCAAGAACAGAATCTGCCCCAGGACTGAAAGAGCCCAGCTCTTTGCCAATCTCTACAGGTCTATGCATGCTTATTTTTTGGGTGGTGGTGGGGGGAATGCTATATCCTTTTGAGAGATTTAACCCATGGTGGGTGTTACTAAAAGATGTGGCAGAACCAGCTTTTTTCTTACTGCTGAAAACATCTAACTGCGTTAACTACACTAAGGTGCTTGCTCAACCCTTGCTTAGCCAATAATGAGTCTAAACTAAGCACTGTCTTACTACCATAAAGTTCCATTACTTGTCTGATTCATGGATGCAAGCATTACTGCTCTACAATAAGAGCAAGATCAATTTCCAAACCATTTCAATGATCTCGGTTTTTTTTTGTATATTTAAAGGTACCAATCAGCAAGCAATACTGCATCCACAATAATGCATCCACTCACTTGATGTTACACCCCCTGTACAAGAGGAAAACCCACTCATCAAAAGCTGAAGACCATAATAAAATCAGAACAAGCAACAGAAACGAGAGATGCCAGGCTGCCTCACTTTAGGATCCCCCACTACACACCCATTGCTACGGCACTAAAAGGCCTGTTGTCTGTGTTTGTGAAGGGCTCCTTTAAGTCAACCGACACTGCCTTTTGAAAGAGAATTATTAAAAAGGAGAGCCCTCCTATCTTTTGAGTTATTACACATGAGTCGGTGCTGACATCCAAAGGGAAAAACAAGTGAAGGATATCGTCGCATTTCTTCTGATATTCCGTCAGCAGGTTACTGCAACAGAGGAAAGAGAGGTTAGACTTCTGCGTCACTGGACAAGCACACCACAGAAAGCTGTGGCTCACATCGCTCTAGATGACCTTTCTTCTTTGGTCCCAAAACCAAAAGCATGCTAGGCTGACATCACCTTGATTCCTAAACAACCCACAAGTATTAAGAGCTTTTAGTCTGAAACATGATACTATCAAAGAATACTGAAAAGAATTGAATCTTGTAATGTAGCATAAATAATGCGAGGAAATCTGACACCAGCATAGAGAACAGTTTGAGAGAGAAAGCAGCTTCTAAACTCTAACTTAGCAAAGATGATTTTCTACTAAAGCCTGTGTGAGCCCCTAAGCAAGGGGTTCAATGTTTCCGAACCCACTGGGTCCACTGCGGGGTTCCAAAATACCACCCACTTCAACCAGTTGGACAGACAGACTGGCAAAAGTCTTCCAACATGCAGGTATACTTACTCTGTATTAATAATTTTCTGTTTCAAGGCAATTAATGCTTCAACATATTCATTTAAGTTCTGAAAGAAAAAAAGTTACAGTCAGCTATTTATGTTTCTATGGCATTTCATTACATGTCCTACAACATATAAATATAAGCAGCTGGTTCACAGTGCTCCATAAACAGAAACAGGCAATTCTCCTCATGTACTGCAGGACTCCTCTGCAGCCACGGCCCTCGCAGGGTTGCCTTTAAATTTCCTGACTACTGATGAACAAATGATAACTGCTAAGATACATTTGATTATGAAAGTTGCTACATTAAACCAACCTAAACATTCAAAAAAAAAAATCTTTTTTTTTTTTTGGTTTTTCGAGACAGGGTTTCTCTGTGTAGCCTTGCGCCTCTGGATCTCGCTCTGTAGACCAGGCTGGCCTCGAACTCACAAAGATCCGCCTGCCTCTGCCTCCCGAGTGCTGGGATTAAAGGCGTGCACCACCACTGCCCTTGGAAATTTAAGTCAAACGATATGCTACTTTGGGAAAGAGGTTCTGTTCTTTTTCCACAGGAAATGAGAGGCTCTGGATTCATTCTGGGGTAAGAAAAATCAGGTTTGATTGAGGAAAACCCCCTGAAAAATCTACAATGGGAACAGATGGCTCAGATGATCCAACATTTCAGAATGCCTCTGTTGCAGTTTCCTGGGTTCTGCATCCAGAAAGGCTTCAAAGCTGCTGGCTGAGATGACCCAGCCTCCCAGACTACTCCAGCTAAGATTTAACCATTATCCTAAATCTTCTCTGGGTCTCCCAAAGATTACCATTGCCCCCAATCAGTCTACAGAACTACACCCACATTCCCAAAAAAATAGATTATGGATGTTTATCTTTGCTTAAGGGGTTAGTTACAAATTGTTATTGGTCCTAGTCAAAAAAGGGCTAAACAAAAGTTAAGTTCAGAGTTAAGTTCAGAGTTAAGTTCAAAGTTAAGTTCAGAGTTAAGTTCAGAGATCTCTTTCTAAAAGGAGGGAATATGATATAGAAATGATAGGGGAAGGAGGGGGGTTTTGAATCTACTTTAATCCAAACAACTGTTGACCTCAAAATATTTTACATTGGTATGGATATTATTGATACAAATTTAAAATTAATGTTGTTGTACTATATGTATATTTCTACTCTTGTTTAAGATACTGTGCTTATGTAGCTCATTTAAAAATGTAATGCGTAATTTAAGAAATACAGATTAATAGTTATTCATCCATAATAGTCAAACTTAAGTCATGTTAAGTATGTTTTCAAGGTCATACACAGATACATTTAGATAGATGGTCTTTAAACACTTCAAAGACCTAAGAATATGACATTTAACATGTTTAATAACCTAAAAGGCTTTTCATGACAATGAGATACATCTATTCCTGGCAGCACAGATCTACTTCAGAGAAGATGATGAGCACTGAAGAACCTCCATATGGAGTTTGCTTTCTTTATGGCAAAAGCTAGCCATATGGACAAATAAACTGCCCTTTCCTCAATTGTTGACAGTTACTATCCAAACTGGACCAATAGGATATAAAAAAAGGGACTACCAAACTTTGCCAAGACAAGGTAGGACAGTCCTTCAAATTTTCCCGCTTCTGAGAAAAGTCTGTCAGATACTCCAGGCTTGTAGGTCAAAGATGGACGCCTCAATGTTACAGAGGAACTTTGGGTGACTGTCCAGGCAGTGAGATATCCCTGTTATTAGGTAACATTTCACCCTTCTAGGTCTTTGACGGAGTTGAAGACTAGATAGTCATAGTTTTGCTTAGTGATGACAAAAGATAAAAAGATACAAAACTTTAGACTCATCAAGATAAGATAGATAATTAAGTATTTACTCTAATTTTGCCAAATGCAAATGGACTGGATATTGTTTTTGTAATTCTTAGTAATTATTTTTGTTGTATATAGTTTTACTATATTAAAGATAAAACCTTCCTTTTTAATTAGACAAAAAGGTGGAAATGCTGTGGAACAATCCTTTTCTACACTGTGAATATGTATTACTCACTGGTTAATAAAAAGCCAGTAGCTGGGCAGGAAGTTAGGTGGGAAAGCCAAATTGAGAATGCTGAGAAGAATAAGGATGGAGTGAGGAGAGATGTCAGCCAGCCGCCCAGGAAGCAAGACATGCTAGGTGACAGGTAAAGCCACGAGCCACATGGCAATACACAGATTTATAGAAATGGGTTAATTTAAGTTGTAAGAGCTAGTTAGTAACAAGCCTGAGCTATCAGCTGAGCATTTATAATTAATATAAGCCTCTGTGTAGTAATTCGGGAAGTGGCTGCTGGATATTTGTAACAGGCATTTGGGACAGGAAATGTTGGGACAGGAAACGTCTGTTTACACTTGCCATCTGTGAGAACTGCAATGTCCCTCCACACCAAGGTCAGAGGACAGTAACAAGTTACTGACTGATTACTACTTAGCAGAAACATAGAAACTTCCTGAAAAATACATCAAAATAACAAAAATTGAGATAACATGACAGAGAACAAATAGTGGGATCAAGACTAAGTTAAAAAGCCATTTTGTGAGGAACTGTATTACACTGCAGGGACCAACCCCAAGCTGGTTCCAAATCTTGTTAGGAAACTGAAGATCAAAGCATTATTAGTTATACTGCTCAGATGTTCCCAAGAACTAAAACACAGATTTTTTTCTTTTATTTGACTTAAATGCCAATTTTCCAATCAGTAAAATATTCAAGAGTAACAGCAGTCTTAAATACACTACAGTAGCTTTCCAGCATTTATGCAGACAAGTTCACACCAGGAACGATGCCCAGCCATCCTATCTCAAGAGTCAGACTCTAAGCAATCCAGAGGATTTGGAGAGGAACAGTCGTGTTTCCACTCAGAGTGCCTATATCTTTTTTGGCAGCTACATGTACATACCCAGGCTAGAACTGATTGAAAAATGCAGGTCCTCTGCAATCTCCATACAATTTAGCTTGTTATCACCTATCCCAGGGGGCTCAATGTCCCAGTCCTCTTCTGAAGGACACTTGGTCCTGCTCAGTCATTCCTAACAGCAAGCAATGGATCTCCTTGCTTCGCCACAACTGTGATCTTGGATAGTCTTAAAGATATTTCCACTAGCATTATTTGTGTGTTTGTGCATGCATGTGTGTGGAGGTCAGAGGACAGCTTTGTGGAGTTGGCTCAATGGGTGGAGTCCAGGCTTGTGCAGAAAGCACCACTGCGAGCAGAGCCATCTCCCAAGCCTTCCCCACACCTCATCAATGCTGAAAGGTCTTCTCAGTCACTTCTGGGCATTCTTTCTTTTTCCTTAACACCCTGACACTTGCTTAGTGCTGCTGATACACTGTGAGCTACAGTATTTGATAGGTAGTAGCCTCTCATCACATATGCACATACATATGTATGCCTGCTAAATAACCATTCAAGGACACTCATGCAGCAACCAGAACTGTCTAAATACTGACACAACTGAGTATGTCTGAGTACATGCTAAGGCTCTGTTTCCAGAAACAAACTTAGCAGGGTCCTTCTCATATGAAAATGAGAATTATTTTATGCTACCTAGCACTTACATACTTTTTTCATATTTATGTCTATAACTCTGCAGCACGAATCTTAAAAGGTCTTATTAATAAAAATCAAACCCAGAGCCAGGTATTGGAGTGAATGCTGTGCTGAATAATCAAAGAAACAGAACAAGCCACAGCCACCTCACCTTGCCAATTCCTCAGCTGATCCTGTTTCCTCAGACTGGAAGCCTCTGAGTCCTCACCCAACTGGATCTCAGCTGAGGTGTTGCTAGAAGCCTAAAAGCTTAACCAGCTCTAGTTCCTGGTTTTCATGACTTATATACCTTTCTGCTTCCTGCCATCACTTCCTGGGATTTAAGGCGTGTCTCTCCATGCCTGTTTCCAGTGTGGCTTTGAACTCACAGGAATCCGGATGGATCTCTGCCTTCAGAATGCCAGGACTAAAGGTGTGTGTGCCACCATTTTCTGGCCTCTGTATCTAGTGGCTGTTCTGTTCTCTGACCCCAGATAAATTTATTAGGGTACACAATATTTTGGGGAACACAATAACTCTCCTAGGATTTATTCTTACACATGCAGCCTCCCAAAATTTAAGTCAAAAGGGAAAAGATGAACTCTTCAGCAACAGCAGCACATTCAGCTGCCTTAAACACTTAAACCTTTCATTATACACTACCTATTTCTACATGGGCTACAGTTGTACGTAGTGGCTTACCACTACCAAGGTGACCCCTGAACACTGTCAAAGCACAAGAAAGCACACAAAGCTTGACACATCCACAGCACTGACATTTCACATTTCTACAGGCACCAACCACCACGTGTTGAGCACCGACACAATAACCTGATGCAGTAGGAACACATAAGAAGTCAAAGCTCTAACACAAGCCAACCTGGCTCACCAACTCCACGCAGGCACGTGCATTATCAGGAGGGCGTTAGCTCAGATGAGGAGTATGGACCACCTTCGTGGCATTAGGAGAATGCCATTTAAGATGGCAAAGACTAACCTCTCCCCTCCACTCCAAACTCAATAGATGTCCTGCAGGGATATAAGGGGCATGTTTCCATCTCTAACCTTAGCTGACTACCTCTATGTAAGAGGCCTTCTTAGATGCTTTCCTAAACCCAGGTCATGTTCTATCACCTGCATGGATGCCATTTTTGCTGTGTCTCTTGCATTTCTCAAGTGGGTCTTAGATGTGTGAAGGAATGTAACCAATTTGTATTTGTTGACTGCAACAACTTGTTCATTTCACAATGCCACTTACGAACAGATGCAAAAGTGTGCACAACAGAATGCACAAAGTACACTCAACAGTGTCTGCAGTAGACAGTCTGTGTGCCTGACTGCACCATCAGAGGTCCCATGCTGCTGCCCTTCTGCTACTCTGCTTGTTTCCTTTGCCCTGGTCTTCCTGAACTGATGTTTTACAACAGGCATGGCCACAGTCATGCACTGAGACTTCTATCCATACTGAAAGTGCCTCTCGTGAGATACACTTAGCATTTATTTAA